CATAAAAATAAGTATATCATGAGGTAAAATGGAAACATACAGCACAGCAGCTGCTCTGTAAGTAACTCCCAGTATAGACGAACATTGAACCTGGTTTGAAAGACCCCAGCACACACATAGTTTACTTGCTATTATGTGGCTCCGGTTGTTTAAGTATCAGTTACAGCACGATTCTCTGTGAATACTGAGGAAGAGGTGTACTGAACCCGTTCAGTCCAATGTCCTGTTTCCGCCACAGGCAACCCCCAAGGGAAGAAGGAAAACAAGGCCAATATACGAAACCTCCTCTGCAACATTCCTACAGCCTCCAGCAGCAGCTCCCATTTAGCTCTGGGGATTTCCTGAGCCTGAGGGGTGTTTGTTCACTAGTTCTCAACACAGCTCTCTTCCAAATACATGGCCAATCTCCCCTGCACCCCAGGGAAACACCCTGTACTCAGCGTGCCATTCAGAGAGGCACTGCACACATCCACCCCTGTGTCACTGTGCAAAGAACCATCTTCTCTTGTTTGCTTAGAGCCCAGCTCCTGCTACCGCAAATCTGACGGTTTGTACTCAGAAAGTCAATTGCCATCCACCCTCTCCAAGTCACTTAGGAAGTGACAGGCCTCAGGCATATCCTCCCTCAGTAACCTCTTCTGCGTGAAAACTCTGAGCCTACTCAATTGTTCCTTTCAAGGGACACGAAAGCCAGGCAGCTGAGCATCCTTGTCATCGTTTTCCAGTTCTAGTGTTTGCTTTCTAAGAAGGAGGAAACACAACCCTGCGGAGTGCTCATGGTGCAAGCTCACCACAGATTTGTGGAGTGCCATAAATATGTGCCCTGTTTTGTTCTCTGTTCCTTTACTTAAAGTGTGCCTTGCTTTTCCAAACACCAAACTCGTGTTTATGCAGGCCACACGCACTCAAAATCTCACTCCTGAGTGGCAGCAACCAATTCAGGTATTGCTATAGTCTATGTAAAGTCAGGACTATGTTTTTGCACATAAATCACTTTGCATTTATCTACCCTGTACTTAATCTCCTTTTTTACTGCCTAATTACCCGCAGTTCTTTACAGATGACCCTCACCCCTGCCAGCTTAAATAAATTCTGCGTATTCAGCAAACATTTTCATCTTGCTGCTCACCCTTTTCTCCAAGGGACTGGTGAGTTGATGAGGACTGCCTAGCTGCCTCCCTGCACTCACCTACTCACTGATGCTGCTCTCTGTGGCCATGAAGTAACGCATGTCTACACTTGCCAATTAACAACAGCTATTTTTAATATACGTCTACCAGCAGCCGAGTAATATCAAGTATTACTTGGCATACAGCACCTGAAGAACTATCTAAATGAGAGATACCATTATTACTATTAACTCACGTGCACCCATTAAGCCATGTGTGTTTAATATTAAACATGAGTATTATTGCATGATCAGAGGGGTGCATATGAGATACTTTGTAAGCCCTTGCTAACGCATAACTATTAGTTTCATTACCTTCTCCCGAGCATGAAAATTAGGGGCGCTGTATTCGTTTCATTAATTGGTCGGAAGCAGAGCTGGGGAGAACATTCTACTGTGACTGCCCAGTCAGACTGAACCTGAGAAAACAGAAAAAACCCGCCTACTATACATTTCCGTAACAGTTTCGCTTAATAAAGGACTAACTGCATTGCCTGGATAGTTGCAGCCCATGGCCAATTTTGTTTGAGTAACTTGCCTCTGAATTTGCTTTTGTTTATATCTTCTGATTTCTTTTTAATCCTAATTCCAGTTTGGTTGCATAACAATATCCTTCTGCCCTTAACCCCCTTAGAGAGGGTCCCAAATTTGACTTCACTTTAACGCAGTTTTGATTTGTGAATAATACAGAACTCTTTGTTAAGCCCCAAGAGCAGCTCAATAGTTCACTCTTCCCTAAATTTCTACTCCTACAGCACAAGGGAAAGAAAAGAGTGACATCAGAGTAAGATAAGGAATCCAAACACGCACGTGTTTGCTTTTCAAGCAAACAATTCCATTTCCAAGTCATCTAGTAAACACTTTGCTTCGAACTACTTTGATTTTACCTACTTGTAATATATTTATTCACCTCTTTGTAAGTCTGCCATCAGTCAGCCCAACGGAGAGAGTAATGAGGTTGGAGAAATGTGTGCTCATACGGTATCACTCCATAAGCTGCTTCCTGTAGGCCAGGATCACAATTTATATTTTCATCTATTAAATACGTCGTGCTGTAGAGCCTTTTCTTTGACCGTGAGGGGTATTTCGACGTGTTCATTGTGGCACTTTTCCAAGTTTATAGGAGCGCCGAAAAGCAATCTTGCTGGAAGTGAACATTTTAGGATGACTTGGTTTTTCACGTTTAAGGAAGAGCTGCTGTGATCTGTGACAAGAGGAGTACTTTAACTCACAGGAGGAACTACCTACCACTCATGTAAATATCTGAACCACTTAAAATGTCTTCATCTGCTTTTAAATATATATATATGCTGGCTGTCGTTGCAAGTTAATACCGAGCACGGACGACATGCTAAAAAGAAATAAAATGGTTTTCGACACAGCGGAAACAGAGACTATGCAGGTAATTACCGTGGGTAGTTAAGACTGGAACGGGGAGGCACCGGGGATGTATTCGGAGGGCAGCCGGGAAGGGTTGGCAGGAAATGAATTTCGTTTCATGGAAGAGGGAGCCCTTTGGGGGAGGAAGACTTCTTTCTGTGCTGTAAGGTCACAGCAGTTCGGTATGGAGGCAGGGAGCAAGCGCCTGCCTCCATTTCTGTTCCTTCAAGGACGGGGCCTAGCGGACAAGCGAGGATCACGGGCTGTTCGCTATTAAGCTGGCTTTATATGAAAGTGGCTTAGAGCCACATTTGCATGACAAAGCCATTTACGTGTATCTCATCAATAAGGAAGGCTATGGGCCCCATTTATTCCCCCTTCGTGCCCTGGTGCAACCAGGGAAGGTAGCGAGGGGGGATTTTGGCGAGAACGCGACCAGGCCCCAGGCCGAGCGCGCCTGGGGTCACCCGGGGCTGCCCACGGCCAGGGGACGAGCGGGGGAGCTTTTGCGGGGAAGGCAACGCGGTGGAAGCTGCTGCGGCAGGCCC